TCGCTGATCTCGTATTTCTTATCGTAAGTTGGCTGATTTAAGCCACAAGTCAGTTTTCTTCAAAGTTCCCTTCGTCATTTCATAAAGATATATACATAGAAAGTTATTCTTATCCAGAAATCAATAGAAAGTTTCAAGTGCCCCATATTTAGAGTTTAATTTGAACTTCCGAAAATGATCTAGTTTTATTCCCTAAAAAGTAATTTTTCAGACAATAAAGGAGAAGAGATAAAAATGTTCGTGCATTTTGCTTCATTTGTCGTATTCAAAGCACTCTTACTATTCAGTGATAATCTGAAATCGTTATAATTTTTAAAATATAGATGTATTAATATTGTATAATCGATTTTTTGTCTAATTATTCTGAAATCTTATAGCACACTTTTTCAGAGTGATCGTTTAGAAAGTTTTGATATTCCAGGTTTTACTCTTAAGACTAGTTATTGGCTTACTGAATGAGAGCTTTGTAGTAGTAATGATTAAGAATTGTCATAAATAATAAAAAAAAGAACCAGTAAAGATGAATTAGTTAAAACGGAGGTGCTGGAGCATACTAGAAAGCTTTTTTTAAATACTTTGTCAGTTTTCGAGAAATGTTTAAAGAAAGTATGCAATCTATACAACAAACGGTTCTATGATCTTCACAACACACACCGAAATACTGCTTCAATACTTAGTTGAGAGCGACATTTCTTAGTTTGGTTATACTAAAATACTTGTGTGATAGTATTTCATACAGTTAAACAATTAATTTAGTTTGTGATGTCTGTAAATATACAAGAACAATTTTTGTTATAAAAAGAACTATTGCTGCAATAACTATTTTTTTAGATAAAACATAACAATAAACAATTGCAGGTGGATTATAATGCTAAAAATTAGGTTTCGATACACACAGTGGGCAGAGCACGGATAGCTCATTATGTAACTTTACACTTAACAACAACCAAACAAAAACACTTTTACTAGCAAGAATATCCAAATCAACTTACAAAAAATCAGGTTTCGATACACACAGTGGGCAGAGCACAGATAGCTCATTATGTAACTTTACACTTAACAACAACCAAACAAAAAACACTTTTACTAGCAAGAATATCCAAATCAACTTACACACTACAGACCGCCCCCAATGGCACAGCGGTATGTCTGTGGACTTACAACGCTAGAAACCGGGTTTCGATACCCGTGGTGGGCAGAGCATAGATAGCCCATTGTGTAGCTTTGTGCTTAACTCCAAATCAACTTACACACTACAGACCGCTCTCCACATATTTCCGTTACCCGACATATCTTTTCATTTTACATAAGAAATAGTTTTGCCTATGGAAACTACGCGTCTTATCCAGTAATAAAATTAAAACTTATTCGATGAGGAAGTTAATTGTAATAAATTGAATTTATAGAAAACTCTGGAAATATATCTTCTTTTACTTATTCATGAATAGAAAATGGGTTGTTTGATTGTTTATAGTTCAGCACAAAGCTAAACAATGGGCTATCAGTGTTTTAGCCGCCACGGGTATCAAAACACGATTTTTATAAGTATTTGTCTCTGGCAATAAACTAGGTAGCACGTATATTCATATAATTATACATTACGCATAAGTTTTTTTTTTTTTTTTTGCTTTATATATATTGTTAATCATTTTTAAATGAAGTTTATATAGTTAGTTACTGAAAAAATTCCGCTAGTGATATTTTTTGTGTTCACTGAAAATCTAAGTGAAATTTTTCAGTTGCTACTATTGTGATTTTACTTGTTATCTGGAATTGAGTTTTTTGCTAATATAATCTGTTATGATTTCATATAGGTTATATAACGTAGAAAACCTTTTTATATTTATTGCCTTTAATATACGTACATTTTTACATGACTAGTTTGGGTTTAGGCACCCATGCAATGAAAACGTAAGGCTAAGGATGACATTATTCGTTTGAAATTGTAGCTTTATGATGATAGTTTTTAAATACTTCCTTACAATTTCATCCATCATTTTCGAGACACTGATCCTTACATAGGTAAGAATCATGATTTAATATTAAGAAAACTCTAAATAATTGATCCATATTAAGTAAAATTTATTATTCTTGGATGCTTTCTACTACGTTATCATGGATGGTCAACTTTGACGTGGTGAGTATCAGAAAACAAGCAGTTTTTACTTTATATATGTTAAAGATAGTTTTTATTTTGTTTTAAGTGTTCAAGGTCGCAGAATGAATAAATGTATAAATAAATAAATAAAAATTAGCATATTTTGAAAACTGTCATAGTTTTTCTTGATGTCAATGTACAGCTTTATGTTTTATATAATTTGTCCTTTAGTACTGAGTTAATTTAATATCAAAAGAAGCTATCGCAGCCAAAAATATTAGGCATGTTAAAACTTTTCAAGGGTTATTAGTTTCTCTTTTCAATTTCACCTCTGGTGAAAAAGAAAATTAATCTTTAACACATATATACATTTATTATTCAGTTGCTCAATATTCGCCATTATAAAGGCTTGAATGTGTTTCGAGCGAGTAGCCAATATTTGTGTTTTCAATATGTCGACCTGAAATTAATTTTTCGTCATATGACTCTCTTCGCATTGCACATTTTATCACTAGATATTAAAATTGATCGCTACTTCATAAGTAATGTGTCGTAATATATTACCCGTGTAAACAATTAACTTGGTAATTTGTTATTGGTCGATTTACTACCCCATGACGTTATGTCATCGGTCATTGGGTAGCACTTTTTATCTGAAATGAAGACGTGTATGAAGTTTTTTTAAGGATGCATCATCTGTTGTGAAGTGCTTATTTTATTACTTATCTTAGGTATAATGGCGGTTTTCAATATTTCGTGTTACTAATCTTCTTAAAATTGGCCTATCACACTATCATAATACTGCCTCAAAGTCATTGAACGTGGTATTCTTTTGATCGTCTGTTTTCCTCATACGGTTGCGCATGCTCAATGACATTGCTGAAATCAAAGGGAAAAAGTACAAAACACATTATCTGTTATAAAAAATATTTACGAAATCTGATACTTTATTAAACTACACGAACGAATCTACTAGAAATTTACATATACAATAAAAATTTGCAAGTTGATTCATAATTTGTTTCGCTATAAATTTTGAAGAATTTGATGTATTTTCCCCCAAACAAAATCTTAGTTTTAAAAGGGTATTTTTTACTGTAACAGAATAGTCTAGTTTTTACGAACGAAAAAAGAAAATGATTTAAAATAATTGACTATTTTGTGTTTTATAATAATACGGAAGTTATCCTAGTAAAAATGGAAACTGCAGCTACACCTGTAATATATTATGTTGATTTCTAATAGAACTGTGTGGGTTGTCTTGCACTTTGAATTTCATAATGACAATTTTTGGAATTAAAAGGGTAAACATGTAGATTTTAAATGTTTAAAATAGTAATAGTACAAACACGTAAAACAACTTGATCATTTAACTTTTAAAAGGCAAGTTAGCATATTCCATTTTACTTTTTACTTCGCCGATAATACTTTACAGTTTAGACCATCGTGCAATATGGTTTACATTTTAGGTATGCTGAATCAATTCCTTATACTTTACAATGTAAACGAAAGTAACTACAGAATTTTTAGAATTTTGATTTACATCAGTCACCTAGATGAAGGAATGGTCAATAAATTAACTTAAATTTGCAAATGATATTAAGGTCTTGGGTGTTGCTAGCTGCGAAGAGGATGCTGCTGACTTACAAAAGGATTTAGATCATTTAGTGAGTTGAGCAAATGAATGGCAGATGGGTTTTAATTATAATAAATACAAGATAATGCATGTGGGTTATCATAATTTGAATTGTAAGTATAATTTGGATGAGAATAGCTTTAACAGTGTCATTAAAGAAAGGGATCTTGGTGTAATAGTTCATTATTCTCTAAAGTCACCCAAGCAGTGTGTTATTGCTAGTGGTAGGGCAAATGGGATATTAGGTTGTATCTACAGAAATATTGAATACAAGTCTAAAGAAGTTATAATTTCATTGTATAGGTCACTTGTCAAGGCACATTTGGAGTATTGTGTTCATTCTTGAGCTCCTTACTTTAGAAAGGACATTAAATTGTTTGAAAGGGTTCAGAGAAAGGTTACTAGAATAGTGTCTAGGATGGAGGGGTTGTCATACGAGGAGAGGTTGAAATCTCTCAAATTGTTTTCTCTTGAAAAAAAGAAGAGTTAGAGGGGGATCTGATTGAGGTGTTTAAGATTGTAAAGGGAATTAATAGTGTTGATGCATCGTCTTTTTTCATACTTAACAGTGAGAATACTAGGACTAGGGGATTCAAATATAAATTTTGGCAGGGTAGGAGCCATCTTCAGTGAAGACAGTTTTATTTTTCTAACAGGCTGGTTGGGTTTTGGAATGGGTTGCCCTCGGATGTTGTGGAGGCAGTAGATTTAAGTGAGTTTAAGAGAAAGCTTGTTAAGTATATGAATGATAAGAGCTGGCTTTAAGGTTTTTTATAATAGTTTTAGTTTAGTTTAGAGGAAGGGACAGCCAAGATGGACCAATAGGTCCCATGTTTTCCCAAAACATTAGGTAATGTTATCTGTTATATCAAGAACTAGTAGCGTGCACTAACTGCATTTATTTACATTCTCATTCAAGCCCACACAATGTATTGCATATATATCATTATGTGATTGCATGTAGACATGAATTTGAAGAAATTAGCTATATATATTCTCTTCTCAGTTTTGTAAGCTATATATTTTAATGTTGTAATTTGTTTGTTAGCTAGAGGTAGTTGTGGTATTTTTAAATGATTTAATATAATGTTAATTTCATGCTGGTCGCATGACTCTCTAGTCTAGAACAAGGCTTAATTATCTACATAGGTCAGTGGAGCTTGGATAGTAGTTAGTTGAGTTAAGTTATTTCAGAGTAGAGAGTTGATGTCAATGTTTGCTGTAGAAATAAGTTAATTTTTGTTCGTGTTGTATATTATGGTTAGTGTGGCTGAAACTTAACCCTACAAGTTACAACAGTGTTCAAGCCTATAGTATTAATAATGTTAAACGTAAGTTAAAGGAGGAAATAAACCCGAATTCTCGCGGTCCTCATTTCCAAGCCTGGAAATAATATTGAAAATTTTGAAAGGTTTTTAAATCTGGGCAACGAGTTGACATAAAAATTTAATGAAGTTAAAAGATAAGTAAACAGTTTTTTTAAACATCAATTATCAGTCAAATGGACTGTTTTACCGTGTATGCACATGCATGTTATCGTCTGACAGTGACAGACACACTGCGCGGGTCCGAGAACATGATCTCCATATTTTAATTCATCTGCGGATACAGTTATTTAACCAGATAAGTAGCTGTTTTTTTTTGTTGTTGTTTTTTGATACACATTGCTAGTTTGGATATAATATTACAAAAATACTAATATTTGTATTAAGGGGTTACAATTTTGCATAATATATTATACTCTATAGGGCTTCTAGGAACATATGCGCAGGCTAGATCTTCAACCGTTTCTAGGCATCAGACACTAACATTAGAATCTAACATGTCTAATGTTAGTACCTAAACCTAATGTGTTAACTAGGTCTAGATCTAGTCTCTACTCTAGATTTGGATCCACATTATAACACAGTAAAAACTATTAAATAGATATAGGCTTAACATTTAATGCTAAAAGCCTAATCGGCCAACGTTAGGCCTGATTGTTTGTGTGTAAGACATATAAGTAGTAGTTCGGGTTATACATGTAATAGCTAGAACTTCACAATTTTGTTTCCAAAATAACGCAAGGCCTAACGATATATTGGACATGCAGCGTTGTCAAACCAAACGTAGACCAAAAGGTACAGCATCAGTCTAAAGACAGTTTTATTCATGTTAGGCCTAGATCTATTTGTTTGTAGTAATGTTAAACCTAGTTTTCCAACGATTAAATAGAAAATATATTCAATATTACATCTAGAGCTCTATTAGTATTAATGGCATTGATTTTGAATGACATCAGCCAATTTTCCTGTGGGCTAACTTATGTATCATTATATATCAAGACTTCTTGAACCTACGTGTTTTTCTGACATCATGATCATGTCAGTAGGCTTATGTCTAAATAACAAACATGAAGAAATTGTACTTGGATTTTAAGTATTTGTTCAGTTGTATTTATAGGATTCAGATATACATCTAATATCAGTAATAATAGATTGTAACTTTTTCATTAAATCTCTATCGCTTCTCACATGTGCATATCGGCGTTTGTTAGCCCTAGGCTTAGGTCTAATCTGAGCTAACGTAGTATCTCGCGATACTACGGTTATGTCATTCATGGAAAGAAAGCGATAAATATGCGTCCAGGGTTTGTGGAAGTAATATAATATGTTATAAGTCACACCAATAAATTTTCATTTAATCTTTTATGTATACAGCGTACTTAAAATCGCTCATAAATTTATGAGACGTCAAATATACCGCATTTTCATTTATCGTAAAATCAGACTTTGTGTATTAGAGCACATGCGGTACATGCATCGTATTACATCGACAGTAACTGTGTAAATCTATTTGCTTGTGTCTGGCAGTTTGCATTGTTATTTCCAAAATAATGCAAGGTTTAATAATGTATTGGACATCCAGCACTGCCAAACCAAACGTTAACCGTAATGTACGACATACGTCTTAAAAACAATTTTATGCATGCGAGGCCTAGATCTATTTGTTTGTAGTAATGAATACACAGGGACACATTTCGGCGGCCATATTGACCACGTTTGTTATGACGAGTAAACAAACCAGCGCGTGGCTTTTGACAAGGTATGGTGAAAGTGCTTAAATACCCATCTGTATGCCTTCAAATCACATGGTTATGTTAAATTATTCGAAAATTTTGTAACTTTTAAGTTAATTTTATGGAATCATTATGATAACAGAGCAGAGAAGCTAATAATTACCAGTTATACTATATTATCACCCAGTAATTACAGGCTTATGCTTTACAAATCCAGTATTATTCTTATATCAGTTATGGGAAAAATTTGTAAAGTATAATAAAAGATGCTTTGCAAAGTTATTTAACAAAGTTTATAATTTTATTGGATAATCAACATGGTTTTACTAAGGGAAAATCTTGCCTTACAAATCTTTTGACATTCTTTGAAAAGCTTACTGCGTAGATTTAGTGTCTCAGAATTTTCAGAAAGCATTTGACAGTATTAAGGTTATTTCCATCCAAATTATACTTATAATTCGAATTATGATAACCCACATGCATTATCTTGTATTTATTATAATTAAAAGTAAAACCCATCTGCCATTTATTCACCCAACTTATTAAATGATCTAAATCCTTTTGTAAATCAGCAGCATCCTCTTCATAGCTAGCAACACCAAATACCTTCATACCATCAGCAAATTTAAGTAATTTATTGACCCTTCCTTCATATGTGTCATTGATGTAAATCAAAAAGAGCAAAGGTCCTAAGATTGAGCCCTGAGGTATCCCACTTTATAAGAACTATCTGCTTTTTCCCATCCAGTCACTCTTCTATCCAACTAGCTAACTTATCTCCCACACGTATAGGTAATTGTTTTACAAGCCTTTTATGTGGCACTTTGTCAAATGCCCTCTGAAAATTCAGATACATCAAATCTGCACCTTTAATTACCCTCATCCATATAAGCAGTAACCTTTTCTGACATTTGTATTTTATCCTGTTTTAAGTCCTACATATTGAAAATATATTCTTAAACATAAACATCAGAATATAAGGAGAAGGGGCAGGTCAAAGTTATGTGGAATAGGTTTGTTCATGTACAGTCAGATGTAACATATACAGCTGGTTGTTAACTATAATATAGGCATGAAAAGCCTATTATCACCCATAAGGCTGTAGTTATCCAACTTATTTTCCTGTTAAAAAAACACAAGTGAACTAATAAATCTTACCTTTGAAAGGAGTGAGGTTTGATAAGTTGTATTTGTGTGTGGATCTCTATATTTAACTACCTGATGTCTTATGTAATAGCTGTAGTTAGGGGCAGAATTAATGAAGAGAATTTGCTTTGTTAACTTGTCAAACTTCTCTCTGAAATTTTAAGAATCCTGCTAAGACAGGCTTCATATATTTAACAATATAGCAAATTATAATGATGCATATTAATACATGTATATTATAATAACAATAAGGATTCTTAATGAATAAATAACAATACTTAA